CAAATAAAGCTACTTGTAGCTTCAACCTCAACATTTGTACTGTTTCTTTTTTAGAAAGTTGTATTTATTTACATAAATAATCTTTTTATGATAAAGGATTTTGTGCTTTCTCTATATTACAGATTTTAAATTGATTATAAATATTACATTTAGCTGTACAAAATATATCCAATTTAAGTAAAAATATAGAAATTTTTGTTATATAAAAAGAAATTTTCTCATGCAAAAATTTGTTACAGTATTTATGAAAATGAAATACATATATATATATTGATTTATTGTGATAAAGATAATTCATATTAAATGTTCTCAAAATAAAGATAAAAAGATAGGAAAACCAATTAATATCCAATATAAATTCTATTGCGAGAGTCTATGATATACATTCTACCATATTTGTTTTCTCTGCATAAACAAAACTTACCTCTACAATACCAGTGGATAACGCATATCCTGTCATTGCTATTGTAGCAGCAAGTGCAGCAAAGATCTGATTTCTTCTTTTATTAGGAAATTCAGTTTCAGAATCTCTTCTTAATCTCTCGACATTTTTTTCAGCTCTTTGCTTCTCATAAGTCTGATATTCTTCTTCAAAATATCTCTGTGATATACGCGACACATATTTCACTAGATTTGTACAGGCTTTTAGATGATTTTGTAAGGCTGGATTTGGTAATGGAGCCTTGAGCAATGGTGCCAGATATGAATATATAACGGCATCTATTGTGCTAGGCTGCTGTCCACAAAAGAAATCTTTATCTCTAAGCCTTATAGATAATAATGTTAAACATTTTTGTGCTTCCGAATACACCTGTTGTTACATAGATGCTTAAAGTTAATCAAAATAAGTTTTTTTTTGCATTTAAACATTACATTCTCTCTCGTTATGTAAATATCTTCCTATGCATTTAATATATTTTAAATTATTCTGCATGTTACTCATACCTCATTTTCTATAACATTTATATTATCTTCCAAAGGATATAAAGTTTGCATTAAGGCATGTGCTTGCCGCTCAAATTTTCCTGGGTAATAAAAATTGAACGGAAAAGGTAGCGCTTTGCAGTACCACGGTCTAATTAATTCATCTAGATTTTTCTTATCTATCCACCTAAAAATAATTGAAACAATCTTATGTTATATATGCTATACAAAAGCTGTGATCTTGCTCTAATTACACTAAAATGTATTTGCTAAAGTACAAAACTTGTGAAGCTATTAACATAATTTGTGTAAAACTAGAGGATTGAACAAACATGTAATACAATGATCAGAATAATATGCATCTCATGCTTAAAGATGTTTTAATATTCCTATTTGAGACAAATAATTCATTTATCTTATTATTATTATATCATTTAGACACAAATTACTAACCATTTGTAATTACGAATTTTGTTTTGCATATTAAAAAAATCAGCTTTTCTTAAATAGTATCTGTAAGCCTTTTTTTTCTTAATTTCTCCTCTTTTCTTAACACTTAAAGCGTTAGAAAAATTCTAGAATTTAATGAACTAACATTTTAAATATAAACAATAATAAGTTTTAAATTTTGAAGATGACATTAATTTCTCAGAAAAATTTTCAGCAACAAGGATGAATAAATTAGTTATTTTTTAATAGATTTAATTAGATTTTCAATAGAATTAATAACAAATTTTTCTGTTATAAATAAATTAATTTTAATAACATTGAAATTTCATAAGCAATGAGTTACATTTTATTCTAATATACGTTTCTATACCTCATACCATATAAATTGGAAGGCTGGATACAACTTTTCCTTAAGCAGAGCATCATAAGCCATGACGTCTGCACATTGCTTATCATTTAAAGTATAGTCAGAATTATAATGTTTTGCTCTAAAAAAGGGCAATATATCTTTAACTGTATCCAAAGTACGTAGACCAGCCTTAAGCAAAGGTAATCGACCGTTTGGTGTTCTATACGGATTGCTTGCTAGATTTATTTTTAAAGGTACCCCACTGAATTTAGCATATGCCTACAAATAACATGTTACTGTATTAGAAAATGAATCATAACTTGTTATATCATCAGGATGTTACATTATTAGATAAATTAAAACATGAATAGATTAATAGACATTGAGTCTTCAATAATAAAATAATTATAATTTTTGATAAAGAATATTATGATTTAGATGGTTATTGAAACACAATTAACTCAGCTTTTAACAAGTCAACTTAGATAATGAAGCAGTTAAGTATGTTTTATATCTTTTTGGTTTTCATTTTACTAGTGTCATCCAGCTAATACTTTACTATTATAATATTCTGATATCTCTAGACATATCTTATTATTATTCAATACATTTCTAAGGTAGCAAGTATCCTTTCAATGACTTCTTTGATCAACCATAGTATTACAAATCTTTGCAAGTAAATTTTGAATAAAAATTCTGTTAAAATTCAATAAAAATTCTTCAGGGAATATCGCTCTATCATCTGCTTTCTTTTTAAAGATAAAATTCACAAGATTCTTTTATTTTCAATTAGGATAATCGCTCCGAAACCGCAGGTGCTCCAATATTTTTCAAAGATTCTTAAGTTGGCCGAAGAATCCACGTTACATGGAAAGATACTCAATTTCTCGCACGTGTTGTATTTGACGAATTCTATGAATACGAGAAGAAGAGGATCGCCGAAATTAATCAGCGTGCTATAACCTATACTCATCGACGCACCAGAATTTGCAAACATTCCACATCGACCGACGGCAGGCCCCAGTCGCCCTTCCACACGTCCAGTTGTAGCACCTCGGCGTTGGTCATTTTCGAAAATTCACATCGCCAGTAAGACTACACGCGCTCGCACGAGCAAATTCCTCGGCAAATCCCTCGTCCGCCGAGAATCCCCTCCTCGGTAAACAATACAGCGTCGCGTGGCATGTTGCAGGTTAGAACAAGTTAGAACAGCTTCCCGAAGTAACTGAATTTTTTGCACTTTTCATCTGCATTCCTTTCTAACAAATAGATTTGTTATCCGGATTGTTTGAAATCTCCAGAAACTTTTGCACTTAAAACGAGATAAATATATATTCGGAAAATTGAAAAGAGAGAAAGCGAAAATGCTGAGTGCAAAAAGTGCAAACGTTAGAGAAGAATCTCTTCGACAACGTGAATGGACTTCGTGTACTTTAAAGTGCAATATGGCTCAGCGGGAAGTACTAGAATCGTGATGTGAATGAACCTTAAGAATCACCAAGAGAAGAGATGGATTAAATGAGAATGAATTAAAATGGATTGAAATTTTTTTCTATCTGAATGCGTATTTTAAATAGTAAATACTTTTTTTTGGATTCAATTGGGTTCAATTAGATTCAAATGGATACAATTGAATTGAAAAACTGAATTTCCTATTCAAAATTTTGAATTGAACAGTATTCACAATGCATTGAAAAAGCTAATATTATTTTTATTTAGATTGGAAGACATAGAGATATGCTCCATACTAATTCCTATAAATCAATAAAATTTGAAAATCTAAATCCATTTCATTTCTATTCTTGTTTGCTGGGCAAACAAGAATAGAAATGCTGAACGTAGCATTTCAAACGGACCTTAAATAGTATTGTTTCACTGGAAGATTTTCCTTTATTTGGAAGATTTTAAAATCTTCCGATTTTAAAATCGAAAGAAGAGATTTTTGAAAATGAATGAAAATATTATAGAAGGTTTTTTTACTAATACAAATTATACAAAATACATATACTCTTCGATGAAAGGAAATTATCGATCTGCGTTTCGAAATTGTATTCGAGTACTCAGCAAACGAGAATGAATAGAAATGAATTGAAATGAATTCAGATTTTCAGAAATATTGATTCACGAATGTTAAAATGAATGCTTTTCAATTCTGAATGCATTTTTATTTATTTATAAGAATTGCATGGAGCATATCTCTATGCCTTTCAATCTAAAAATAATATTAGCTTTTTCTGTGCACACAAATACAATTGTGAATACTATTTTAATTTAAATATTGTTTTAATTTAAAATTTTGAATAGGAAAGTTTTTCAATCTAATTGCATCCAATTGAATATAATTGAATCCAATTGAATCCAATTAAATCCAAAAAAATATTCGCTATTTAAAGTACGCATTTGGATAGAAAAAAATTTCAATCCATTTTAATCCATTCTCGTTCGCTGGATAACTATAATCTAATACGATGTCTAATAGAAACTCGTAATGATCGTAGGAAATTAACATCTCGATTAGTAGAAAATTGACTAATTATAATCGATTATTCTTCTCATTTTTATTCTCGATTATAATTGTTTAATCTTCTATGATCTAAAATCTTACAACTATTACTTCTATCATAAATATCGAATTAAATCTGAATAAGTATATAATCGAATAGATAATAAATAATGTATAATAATTAAAATCGTAAATGAAATTTGGTCTCTTACATTTTTTTTTGTACGATTATAAATGATTCAACGATGTAATAAATTTGAATGTTCGCATGAGCGACGTTTTTTATGAATTTCTACAACTTACAAGCGTAAATATAACTTTACAAAACAAATCTCAAATTTTTTTCGCGAAGCACGCGTCTCATATTTTTATCTAGAATAGCAAGTTTTAAAAAAAATTAAAAATAATATTTCAAAAGTGCCCGGTTTGACGTGGCGAATATCTCAGGTACAGTTCGCTCCATAGGGGATTTTGATTATGTACTTTAAACGAGGTTTGTGGAAAATTAGAAAGTTATTAGAAATTAGTGAGCGAATTCTAGATGTTGATCGATGAAATTATAAATGTACTAATAAATGTACTAATAAATTTGCTTGTTATTGTAATTTCATCTTTCGAAATACACAATTGACTCCCAGATATGCCTTGGACAGGTGCGACCTGTATTTCCTTTATGGTTACTGGTAGAAGGTTTCACCACGCCATTGAAGGATTTTCGTGCATGCGCGGAAGATTTTTCAGTGACCTGATGAAACAATACCGACCTTAAGAATTTAGCCACTAGCGTCTCCAACGACTCCGATTGCCTCGTGCCCCGTCTGATCCTTTATTTGCCTTCACCTCACCAATTGATTTTATACTCATTCTCATCGTCCCATATAATTAAAGCAAGACGATGTAATGATTAACATACGATGAGTAAGGTTTTTTTCCATTTGATTGTGTTTAATTGATTCAACGTGCAAAGAAGAAAACTGAAGTGCGAAATAAAAGTGACAGTGCGCATGTTGCTGTAGAATTTTTAGAAATTACAGAGGTAAACGGTGATAAGTTGTCACTGATAACAGACTGATTTCTGTTGTCGTCAGGTTGCTATGACAAAATGTCCAACACGCTCACTCCATTTGTATATTGGGCTCAGACGGAGAGTCAAGTTACGCTGAAGGTAGACTTGACTGATGTAAAGGTACGTTATGTACACATGAAAGGACATACAAGACCTTTATACTTGTAAGTGTAAAGTTTTGATTGCGTTATCAATAAAAATTGTCATAATTATACATCTTATTTTGCAGGATCTTAATGTCAATCTAAAAGAAACTACATTGCAAGTTACAGTCTATGGACATGGAGCCAGAGGAGTGAACAGTTACAGCTTTGATTTAAATCTTTATTCACCTATTGATCCAAATGTAAATTAACGACAATTTAATTTATCTTTATGTCTATTTTATATAATTATATTAAAGAAAATTTGTGAAATGTTTATTCCAGGAAAGTAATTACAAGGTAATCGATCGTGAGGTGAACTTTGTTTTGAGAAAGAAATGTAATGGCTGGTGGCCAAGACTAATAAGTCAACCACAGAAGCCCTCATGGCTTAAGATTGATTTTGATAAATGGAAAAGTGAAGATATGGATGACAATGAAGATGAGAAGCGTGATATTCTCAATGATTATCCTGACATGTATGATAAATTGCACAAAGAAGAACTAGGATATAGAAAAGGTATACAAATTAATGTCACTGGCTTAGTTTACATTGTACACTTGATAGGAGTACTAATTAGTAATTTTCTATTGAATTATTTTAATTTCAGCGATTCGTGTAATCATATACACGAGATGTGTATTTAATTAATCATTTTGATGTATATTGTACCAATTTTGATGTATATTGTACAATTTTATTTAGTACAATTTAGTACAATTCTTTGAATAACATCTGAAACTAAAATAATGTAATAGAAAGTTACTAGTTAGTATGCGTATCAAGTGTACGATGTAAACTAGGTTATTAGTAATATTACAATTAATATGTTATATCTTGTTCTTTCAGAGGACTTTGCGAAGGTGTATCTAGTCATATATAATCTCTGTCAATTTGTCGGTTTTATTTATGTGTTTGCTGTAATGGCTATAAGATATTCTCGCGATGGACCAGGTATTTATATATCTTATTACAAAGTATTTCTTTTGTATGAGAAATAAGTTAGAAATTTTATTGAAATTTTATTCTCCTAACTTTTCATGTTGAAATTTATAGCAGTGAACTCGTTTCTTAGAAATATTTTATTAACACAACAGATCTTTGCAGATTCCATGAAAGAAACATATGATGCAGTTGGCAATCCATTCAAATTTATACAATTGTTACAATTTTTGGAGGTAATGCATCCTCTATTCGGATATACGAAGAACAGCGTACTAGTGTCTTTGTTACAAACGGGAGGTAGAGCATTCATACTGTTCTTCATGATCGACGCTGAGTCTCGTATGCAAACCAAACCGGTCATTTTCTATCTGTTTCTGATATGGAGCACAGTAGAAATAATCAGATATCCGTATTACATCACGCAACTGTTGAACATTCAGATAACTTTCTTAACGTGGCTGAGATACACAATATGGATACCGTTGTATCCGCTCGGCTTCGTATGCGAGGGTATTATAATGCTACGAAATATTCCATACTTCGAGGAAACACAGAAGTTCACAATTTCTTTGCCAAACAGTTATAATTTTGCTCTTCACTTCCCGTCTCTAATAAGACTTTATTTACTCTTCTTATTCATGCCTGGAATATATACGGTAATGTCTCGAATGAATCAGCTGCGCTTCAGAAAACTTAACAATAAGTCTAATATTAAGAAGAAGTACAACTGATTTCGCGGGATAGATAATCTTCAGGCTTGTATTCCTCTTTTTATCTATAGTCTCATCTATAGTCTATTGCGCAGAAGATATAGGTAATAAAAAAAGCGTGAGACGCATAGAAGGCATAATAAGCTCTGTTTAGCATATACAGTTTTTATAATAACGTAATTTTGTATAGATATTTATATCGCTTCCAAGGATAAATATTTATCAAGAATATAATTTAAATGTTATTTTATTTTAATTTAAAGATTGCAATTTTATTTTCGTGGGTTTGTTATTTAGTATATAATTAAATGCTACGTAATGAATAGAATATAGTATACAGTGTATATATTTTTATTTGCATATATGCTGTTATAATAAGAACAAAGAAAATTTGCGATATAGATATCATCTCATTCAACGATTATACAATATAAACATTCTATTTGTATCTGATTGTATTTCGTATAACAAATAGCGTTACTAAAATTTGATTTTTTTTAAATATCTATATAAATAGATATCTTAAATATAAACCTGTATATGACAGAATAAAATAAATCATGTAAATAGGTGTGATTAAATTTTGTTTTTTTGGGTCTCTATGTTTGTAATAACAAAAATATACAACTGATATACAAATCGTAAACATACATCTAATGACAAATTAATAAATATTAATTATGCAAAATATTATTAATTGCTATATGTATATTGCAATAAAATTTGAAAAGTGCTCAAAAAGAAAAATATGATTTACGATTCTTATCGCATTAATACAGTATAGACGATAAAAAAAGTTTGCTTATTAGTATTTAAAAATTATAAATATTATTCTACCTATTTCATTTTAAGTTTCAAAAGTATACACTAATTTAGCTTTATAAAAAAGACCTTATAATAATATTAGTATAATTTTAAAATAATAATAAACAAATTTTATATTGTCTGTATTAATAGAGTAAGCGTTAATTATATCAGTAAATACTAATAAATCATAAAACAATCAATAATATGTTGTTAATTTATGATCTTATTCCAGCCTCCTAAAAAGAAGTAATATCTAGTAACTTTAATTTTTAAAAATATTTTCATTGAATACAAATGACTACCGTCGTGATATTTATTTTGATACTTTTATATTATTATTTATATTATATTATTATACTGTTATAAGACGATGGGAGTGGTGTTTGGCTAAAGTGAGAATAAAACAGTTTATTTACTGAAATAGACCTAATTATTTTATTTAAATAAAAAAATTGAAAGGAAATGCAAAAAATGTTGAATTACAAAGTTGACGAAGTCTGTTATTTTTAGTTTGCACAGTTCATCTTTTTTTCTTTCAGTATGAAAAAGAAGGAAGGAATTATGTGAGAAGTTCAGCTAAAAAGAGATTTATTAGATAATTTGAATTTTGTTTCAAAGAAAGATCGATATTGTTGATCGATCGATATTCCTTTTTTATCGATATATATCGTTATTAATTGCGACTATTTTCAATCTCTTGACAGAGAAATTTTTGGTTAGGAAACAAGCATGGTAAACACGTTGTCTGCAACCGAATGCATGTGATTTATCATTTGTGATTGATTTAATGAAATTTAATTTTAACGTGCGTAATTTTATTCCAAACATATGCGACGCAACGTTTAATTTATCCGCATTTCAAATCATTCCGTTATGATCCGATTTAATGCGGCGAGATGAGTTTTATAGCCAGTGGCTATTTTGGAACTCGTTATGTTGTGACGTGATGTAAGTTAATTTTCGGGACTTAAATTATCGCAAACATTATAAAAATGTATCCAGTTGATCTAACAAAGACGATTCCACCGGCGATTGCCGATAAGAAGGTATTCCTGAGCGACGCCGATCTTGACAAGATCGCCCTGTTCCTCGTTGGTAATCAGCAACGCTTCAGAGAAAACATTATAATCCCCAGAATGCTGGGACCTGTACAGATAAAGACCATCGAGGAGAAGAGAATAGATAGCGTGATGGAAAGCTGTGCTTTTAAGAGCATTATGAGTTGTGTTTTAGGTATGCTTTTTCATCACTCCTTTCTTATGAACAAATATCAAAATATCATTACAAATTATAAATATATAATTCTTTGCATATTTATATGTCAAATAAGGGTCTACCTAGACAAGCTTGTATAACTGCATTTAATAAACCAAACTACAACCATTTAATAAACATCAAGTAACAGTAACATAATGAATGCTTTCCAGCAAGAGACAGATGACACAGTCAGTCATTCTATCTTTATTGTTTGCTAATGTTAAACAAAGATGAAATGATCACTATATTATACTGTGTCTCTTACTGGAAAGCACCAATAATATCAGTGTTATAATTTCCTTAACAATGTAATTATTATGTTCGTGTGTTACATTACATTTATATTGTTGAAAATTATAATATTGATGAGTTACTGTTAGTATTTACTGGACATAAAGAAAATGATTTAATTTAATTTTATGTACAACCTTATCATAGAAATGTAATTGGATAATTTTCTTTATGCATATAATTATGCAATTACAATACATGTTTGAATAGATTCTTTAAACCTGGTTCCAAAGTAAGATTTTAAATTCTGATTTAACTTACTGTTTATCTTTTTCTCATTTTTATAATTAGAAAAAAATCTTTATTATTTACAGGAATTTATAGGATATTCTAAAAATAATATCCAATTATATATTTAATTGTATTTTTGGAATCTTTTTTAGATTTTTCATAATAATAAAGATTTTTTTAATTCAATTATCTGTGAGAAATAATTTAGACTGCAAAGAATGAGATTACAATGATCAAAGTTATATCATGTTAATTGAAATATTCATCTTTTAGGATATGGTTTGGGAGCAGCTATTGGATTATTTTCTTCCAGTGTGAATCCCAATGTAGCGAGCGTTGAGAGGCAACAGAGCGCACGAGAAATATTAAAGGAAATGAAAATCACAACCCTTAGCTATGCGAAGAACTTCGCGGTTGTCGGATGCATATTCTCTGCTATCGAGTGTACAATAGAATCGGTAATGCTCCAGATATGCGCGTTAAAAATCTTATTTTTAGATATAATAATCTGCTCGCACAATATTTTCTATAGCACATTGTTAAACGTTGTCTTGATTTCAGTACAGAGGTAAAACTGACTGGAAAAATGGCACATATGCAGGTGGTTTGACGGGCGGATTAATTGGCTTAAGAGGTATTTATAATTTCTTCATGCATTATAACTATTAATGTTTTTGAATTTGATTGATTATTATTAATCTTATTCCTTGCAGCCGGTATAAAAGCGGGCATAGTCGGTGCCGCAGGCTTTGCAGCATTCTCAACGGCGATAGACTATTACATGCATAGATCTTAGACTGCATAGCACAGATTGTTAAAAGATATATATTTGTATAAAAGAGATATAAAAATTTATCTAATTACGTATCTATACAATTCCTGTATAAAAACATGGAAATGTTTTAGTGTAAATATGTTCGTAAAACTAGTATCGTGTGACTGAATTAAAAGCGTAAAATATATTGCCTTTTTTAATTAATTTACGATCTAATATTTATCCAATTTCATGTTGTCGAATACGAAATTCTCTTTCTTATATGTAATTATATGTAATCACATTTTTATGTTTCGTTGTATTGCATGAAACAATTCGCACAAAGAGATGTTCGTATGTGATACACGTAGAAAATTCCTAAATCTGTAGTCACATTTATCTTAAACATTATGTTTTTATCATGTATGACGAATATAATATATAGGAATATTTAGGAATACATTTATCGTTTACATGTTTTGTGAACTATATGCGTGACGAAGAACAAAGAAGTTAGGAGAGAATGGCCAACTGTAAAAAAAATATATATATATACTGTTATAAATTTAAAATTAACTTTGGATTGATATTAGTCTCTCTTTTAAAAAATGGTTTGGCACATTCACTCTTTGCTTCTAAGTTGCTTAACATTAATAATTATACGCAATTGCCTTTAGATAATCTGGCGCGATCAGTTCCGATGTTTTTACTCGAGGATTGCATCAGCCTTTTAAAATTTTTTATATATTTGTCCTACATGAATTCAATGAGATTTTTTATTCAATCAGCAATATTATAGTTTTATCTATAACTTATTATGAATATATTGCCCAGTTGTGGAAGCGATTCTTTTAAAGTAAATGAAGTGTTTACACAACAAATTGTTTGCATAATTGTATACGAAAAAGTTTGCATCTCTAACATGTTGATATCCTACTGTGATAGTGAGATAGATAAAAATTGCAAGGCACTTTTTTTCATAATTTTTTTCTATTGAATGATTATCTGAGATAAAATTCCTATATTTTACGTCATGTATATAAGATATCTAATATTTTCTTTTGATAAAGGATGCTGCATGGACAGCTGAGCGCATACTATTTTTAGTTATTAAAGTTAGCTTACATCAGATATCTGCTTTTGCAATTTTGTTTCGTTGGTCTTGTTTTACTTATGCAATAAAACCTTATCTTATATTCTTATTATGTCTATGCAAAATGCACGATACGAATAAAACATTCGATAATTTGTCAATAATTAAGACATCACATGAGAAACTATCGAATCAAAGACAAATACATTTCTTTGTCATAAAACAAAAATGAATCCAAATAAGATTCCCAGCAAGTATTCGCACAGTAAAATCTTCGAAATAGAACGATTCGAATAAGTTTTGTTAAAAAAGAAACAAATTACTTAAGTGCCTTACCTGTAAACCTTGGATATGCAAACATTTGTTTCATACTGTATCGTGATTTCAGACCGATTTTATTAGTCTACTCGTTCTGGATGAGGCATTGGATGTCGTAACAGAGCCATCGAGAGTCTTCACATCGACAATCAAAAGTTAATACTACGTAGAAACATTAGTATCGTTATACTCTTATATGCCTATAAAACGCGTGGTGCGTATCAAAATGAGATTTCCCTAATAAAAAACGAGTTTAGAAAAATATTACGGTTGAAATCAAGACCCCTAATCGTGTAAGTCATTAATAAAAAAAGTTTTATAAATTATTTTGGCACTCGCGTAACAATGAGGAGTCTTTTCCTTCATTTCATACGTCAGTACACAAACGCATATTCGATCAAGGTTGCTGTTGTTGCATCTGCGCTTGCATCACAGCCAGCAATTCTTGCATGTGTCGTATTTCTGCTTCCTTCTCTTGCAAAATGCGATCCTTCTCCGACACGGTGCTGTTCTTGTCAGGTTCCGTGATACTGTAAAGAAAGAAACGAAAGTCGAAATAACGCTCATAAATACAATATCATAAAATGAAATATTTATACTCACGTTGTTTGACGTCGGGGCGGCACTGGAGCTCCCTTTGCCAATCTTTCGCTACGGTAATTCTCGTAATGTACTTCTTGCGTTACCTCCTGTAAATCTTGCATATGCGTGCTATAAAGAAAATATATATCAATATTTATGTATATCAACGTAAACATCGTAATAAAATAAATATCATAATAAAACAACAACTTACATCAGCATTGTCCTCAACTTGATAAAATCGCAATGATCCGGATTCTCCACTTCGACAACACCCCATGGATACAGTCGACCACGTACTCTCTTTCCTTTGACTTCAAGCAAGGTATTTGCACCACACACTGCAAACGGGACAGCTTCTTTCAACTGACGTACTTGTTCCTTGTAATCCTCATCCTCGTCACTATCACAGTCCGGTAAAGGATATATTTTGATTCCATTGCCTTCAATTTCCTCCATAACTCTTTTTTTCAGGCGCAAAACTTCTTTTTTAGTAAGTACATCAGCTTTCGCTATTACAGGTACTATATTAACTTTGTTATGAAGTTGTTTCATAAACTCGATATCCAATGGCTTTAACCTGGTAACAAGAGGGAAAAAAAGAATCGATTATATTATTTGCTTCATGTTTTAACTCTAAACAATTATTTTAATTTTAACAATGTACCCATGGCCAAATGGAGAAATGAAATAGAAACAACAATGTATTCTATTATCTACGATATTCCTCCTGTTTAGACCACTTTCGTCACGAAGAAATCTCTCAAACTGATCGTCTATGTATTGAATAATAGCTCGGAAACTATCCGTATTATCAATTGCATCTCCATAACCAGGTGTATCGACGACTGTTAATCTAAGTTTCACGCCCCTTTCTTCAATCTCAACCGTTGAAGCATCAAGTTTGACGGTTTGATTTGTTTTCTCTATTCATAAGAGTATAAATAGATATTTTAATTATATAGAAATTTGTAAAAATCACATATTTGCATGTTACATGTGTGAAATAAAAGTAAATAATTTTTGCTTACCGACTGCATCAGGAATTATTCGTTCGGGGTACAAATCCGTGAGGAACAAACTGTTTACCAAGGTGGACTTTCCAAGGCCAGACTCTCCTACAACCATAAGTGTGAACTCAAAGCCCTTCTTCACAGATTTCCGATGTACTTGATTCGGCAAATTTGCGAAGCCCACGTACCCAGGTGTCTCCAGGCTCGCAAACTGGAAAAGAATGTTCCAGAATTATTTACAGTATCTTTAGATTTGTTTCTTTGATGTCAATTTTCACCAATGTAGATTAATTTTAATCTTGAATCCTACTCATTCTTCAGCTTTTTCTAATTCTAAAAATTACAAAAAGACAAAGAATAAGTTAACCCAAGATTAAAATTAATTTACATTAGAAAACAGCAATTTTGCTGATGCCTATTTGTAAACTACTATAGTCTATTGTATTATATTTTATGCTTATGTCTACTCTGTTAACATGTAGTCTTTTTCATAAAGCTTTGCAATAAACTAAATTAAATTAAATTAAATTAAAAACTGAATTAACTGACATTAACCGAATTTATTTTGCATCCTTCAGTTTTCTTTTCTTTCTTGGAAAAAAAAGTATTGAAAGATTTGTTATTATTAATAAATATAATTACACTCTATTATTCAATGTTGGCTCTCATTTGCAATTTAAATTAATTTTGTTAGATTTACTCATTACAGCCTACATTTCCAATTTTGTTATTGCGAATAATTACCATGAATTTATATCTAGCGATCAATATTTTTCATTTACCAGTCACGCAAATTTTTTTTATACGCAAAGACTTAATTAACCTTAATGGCAGGCATTACGATTCATGTGACACATAAGGCGGAGGCACTTACCGTTTTCACGCTCTCGCTCGACATGTCAGATGCGTAAATCCGTAAACAAGCTCTATGTCTCTACTGAAGGTCGCGGTCAATTCTAGACCGCTATTTCTAGATCGACGCAGCTGCGAACAAAAATGTATGGCAAGACGCGGCGATGGGACGCACGGATACACCCTAATACGCGTGCACGACGGGGAAACAGGTTACTTCGATTTCAAATGTATTCGACTTCGAACCGCATTGTTGAACTCAATATCACTCGATACGTGGCACGTTTCGCCACGATTTAATCGGCTACGGTAGCTACTGAAAGCGTCGCGTGGTCGCACCGTATCCAAGCACGACGGCGAGTCGGGAAAGTCTCGAGGGCGGCGCAGTGCGAATTATACAGAATATCGCATTGTGGATAGGGAGGGGAGATACGATGAATCGGAATAAGTTGAGGCGTGGCAACCGAACAGCTGAACGGCATTCCATTACGTACTCGCAAAAAGTCACGTTGCGATCTCATATATCGACTAGGATGGTCCACGATGATGTATCGACATTAGCAAAGAAACTATCAATTAAATTAAAATATATGTATGTACAATTTGTAAATAATGATGTATCAATAAATTTCATACATACACACTACACACAAAAAATTGTTTTACTTTTTAACATATTATTTATATTTAAGCAGACAGAATTCAATAAAGCGCAGAATT